CCACTAAGCTGATGACCATTGTTGTGTGTGTGGGTGTATTACATCCCTATCAATATCTCTTTTCATCTTCTTTGAAAGCTGAGCTAAGCCACAGTAAAGCAGCAGATGACCGTGATGTCGGAAAAAATCTGGGGTCGCAAGTCTAAATAAAAGCTCCTAGATCGTCAACTCAATTCGGTGATGAGTTTTTAGAGAGTGACATACATCTGCGTTGTGCATGTGGGTGTTGATCCAGAACGAGTCCTCCTTCATCACGTCAAAACACACCCAAGAGGCCGATGTTTTACACAAAGAAAGCCGAGTGGCAGCTCAGCCAGAACACAGCTCCTTCTGTGTTGGCGGCTCATTGGCTTTGACCTTTGACCCCCTGCTCAGTAATATGACCATAGGCTTTAAGAGAGCCTGAGCCGGTGTGCATCGACTCAAACACTACCTTTTGTGTGTGTGTATTGAGCTTTCACCGGGCCCGGCGCCACAAGGGGGCAAAAGGGGGCATTGCCCCCTCAGTTGTATTCTTTGCCCCCTCACTTTGAGCATCATTCATCCATCGAAAAGTAAAAAATGTCACAATTATTTCCCCCAACACACGTTACTACGTTTAGATCAGATCTGTGGGCAGGCAGCATGGGCGGCGCCAGGATTTTTTTTGCTGCAGTAGCTTAGCAGTTGCTATATGACAGCACGGCGTTGCTAGTTAATTTTCAAAATAAATAAACAAACAATACCAGTGGGCCAAGCACGAGCCTGTTCATATTGTAGCGTTCACCGCTATTCAAAATCACAGATCACGAGCCTTCAATGTCGAAAACGTTCTCTTTATTTTCTGGTAGGCCTATTGACGGCCACAGCCACGCCTTACAGTTGGTAAAAGCAGAATTTGAACACTGTTTCTGTGCTCCTACAATATTTTTGTATAATAGGCGTGTGGTGCAGTGGGTTGAGTGTTGGTGTTCGGATCAAGGGGTCAGGTTCACACCCCACTGCATTCAGCATATCGTTGTGTCCCTCGGCAAAACACTTCACCCCAAATTGCTCCTGTGGGGATTTCCCACAGTATTGAGTATGTAAGTCGCTTTGGATAAAAATGTTTAAAAGTGACATGTAATGTAATACCATTACACCCTAAGCATACAAGTACACAATAGCGATCGTTCACTGTTTCAACTGGCATGCTGTGGCATTTAACCACACCGCAACCAGACAGACACACACACGGATGTCCGGCTCCGTTGGAGATCGCGGTCGTTTACGCTGACTTTAGTGATGTGTCGGTCCATCGCAAACTTCAAAATCCGGCAGATCAGGTGTTGGCAACACCTGATCTGCCGGATTTTGAAGCCCCTCTTTAGTTTTCCACCTGCAGGGCCCAGAGTAAATGCTTTTGTGAGCACAAACTAGAGGGGGACGGCACTGAACACTGAGCACTGAATTCACTGAACACGGGAAATTACAATCCTGCCGTGAGTCCTGCCGTCCTCTCTAGTGTCATGATGAGGTTCAGGTAAAGCACGGTTAATGTATTATATGATTGACTCAATAATAAACATGACTTTGAGAGTAGGCAATCTAGGCATATTAACACAATTAATTAAACACACTTATCACGGCGACAGTGTACTGAGATTATTATTATTTATTTATTTTTTTGCTAGGGGGGCCTTAGTGGCTGCGGGGCCCTAAGCGGCCGCTTATGTCGCTTAATGGGTCGGGCCGGCTCTGACCGTATCGGTACAATGAGCGACATCTAGTGACGGATTTTGGAACATTGATCTGCTTTTTCTCATGGCAGTTAGAGACAAACCAGGGGACTGTCCATTTGGTGTAGTATTTGATCTAATATTACATTTGGTTTATATATTAGTCACTTTGTTATGAAATGCCAGGTTTTAGGCCTTGATTTGAACATTCAATCCTGGAAATAAAAAATCCCCAGATTATTTGTTTTTTAATCCTGATATAGAGTAGATAGTAAATCTGATAGGAAGACGAGTTAAGGGATAGAGGAGAAACGGTTATGGTATAATTACAGAGCCTGTCAATTTATACATTGAGGAAATCAATGTTAGTCTGTTAACCAAAGTGCAGCCATCTGATAATGTACTATCTATCGTTAAAGATCAAAGGAAAAGAACAGAATGAGAGGGGTCAATCCAGAATACAAATAAAGAAGCAAAGACATTGTAGAGCAGTGAGAAAGAAAAACGCTTGGTGTGTCAATTAATTACATTGCCAGGATTTTTCGTTGTTGTGAAAAAAAATCGCCCACTCGTATTTTTTATCAGCCCCCTCAGTCATTTCGTCCTGGAGCCGGGCCTGGCTTTCACACACATTGTCCACGGCAGCGCTTAATTTATTCCGTACATGGGAAACTGTCGAAAACCTTTGCCCTTATGCTGATCCTCTTCTCTGTTCAAAGGAGTGGAGGGAGAGTGCGGTGACACCTGAGTCCAGGGGAGGGGGATTTCATTAACACACACACATACACACATATGTACGTACAGAAACACACACACCACACACACACACACACCCACACACACCACACACACCACACACCACACACACACACCAGGAGGTAACACAGAAATGGAAAGCAGAGTGAAACCTAATCAGTGCAAATTCAGAGGGAGGAGAGAAAGGAAGAAAGGAGAAAGTAGGGATGGAGGGAAATGAGGAAGCAAAGAGGTTGACAAAGAGGTGTGTGTGTGTGAGTGAGTGATGAGTGAGTGTGTGTGGGTGTTGTGTTGTGTGTGTGTGTGTGTGTGTGTGTGTTCGTGCGTGTGCGTGTGTGTGTGTGTGTGTATATAGCAGTGCTGACAGGAAGTGTTGACAGCCCTGTTTGGAACAGTAGAGGTTTTATCTGTACTAAATGAGACACTATCCCCTCCACCCCATTAGCACTGACCCAGAGTCTGTTTTTTGTCCCTTATTATAAACTTCAAGAAGGTGAAGTGGCTCTTGTTTCAGCGACCGATGAAGCTATGGCAAGCAGATCTTTATTTTTAGCACAGGGAATATACCAAATTCTTTACACTGAAGCAAAAAGGACTGAAGTCTACCCAACAAAAACACAGAGCTGATGAAATATTCATGAGAAAGGGAAGGTTTTTTCAAATGCTTTTAAGACCAAGTTAAAAAAGCTAAAGGACAATAACACAGACGGTTAATGAAGGCTAGGGCTAAGCCTCTCCCTACATTATTGGTCCATTTCCATTGTGCATAAAAGTCTCATGTACAGGCTACAATATATCATGTTTTGAGCGACTCCAAATATCACCCGGTAGGATTGGCTAAGGTTTTTATAATCAATTAATTCAGTTAATTATAGATTAGATGACTATTATGGTTATTTTCAGGTTCACATTTGTATTTTGTGCAGTGACATGTCTCCATGCTTTAATGTTCAAAACGTTTTTTATTTTTCTCATACTGCCTGTGCTGCAGCACCTCTTTTTATGAAGGTAGCAGTGGCGGCTGGTGGAAAATATCTTTGGTGGGGCTGTTGATATAGTGAGTAAAACATTTTTTTTGGGAGAAATGACCCCTTAAATTAGGACTTCTGGTGATGTAATGGCGCGTTTCCAGTGCAGCGCGGAGCTCGCTTTAATGCTGCGTTCAGACCGGACGCGATGCGAATATTCGCTTCGCTCTAAACGCTCCTATCGCATCGCTCTAGTCGCTCGAGTTTCACCGCGGCTGCCAGCTGTGTTTACTCGCATCATTCAAACAAGACGCGCTGGCTCGGGAGCTACAACTACAACAAAATGAACATATTTTACCGTGATTAAATTGTAATACACGTTTCTAAATGATGCCGACGTAACAACATACTGATACCGGTTAGTAAAAACCATGAATTAATGCTTTGACAAGTCTGCAGACAGACGGCAGGCGAAAAACCTTTTAGAATGCTTGTTTTCTGAATGGAGATTGGGTAAGCTAACGTTGTATATGCTCACTCCACACTCATAACAACGGCCTACAGACATAAATAAACCAGCGACTGTATTCACCATGACACAGACAGTGCCGAGCCGTGCGG